CGGATTCAGCACCCGGCCGGCGGACAGCGACCCGAGCGGCGCGGCGGAGCGAGCGCGCGTCCTGGCCAATCAGCGCCCGCGCCCCCCGCCCCGCCGCCGCCGCCGATTGGCCGCCGGGGGAGACAATGAGCGGGAGCGCGGCGGCGCGCTTAAAGGGGCCGCGGCGGCCGGCCGGGCGGGCCGGCCGGCTGGAGGGCCGCTCTCCCGAACCGGGGCCTCTGGAGCCCGACGGCCGGCGGCCCCACCGGGCCGAGGAGGCGGCTCTGCCGGCAAGAAGCGGGGCGGAGAGAGGCGTGCCTCCGGGGAAGTGCAGAGCGCATCTGCCCGACCGCCCGGCACGGGTTCCAGGAGTCCAGCCGAACTCGGAGCCCCCGCGCACCCCCGTCGCCGAATAGCGGTCGGGCCTGCTGCGCGCTCCCAAGGAGCCCCCGGCAGGCACTCCCGCGGGCGGGCGGGGGTGGGGGCGGGCCCGGCGGAGCGCGCGCCCTGGAGCTCGGCCCGGGCAGGCGGGGGTGCGCCCAGCGGGCGGGCGCGGGCAGGCGGGGGGTTCCCTGGCCTGGAGGGCGCGCTCCCCTGGACGGGCGCGCTCGCCGCGGGGGTCCCGCCGAAGCCGTCTGCGACACGCGAGGCGCGGGGCCCCAGCAGCCCTCTGCCGGCCTCGGCCGCGGACCGGCCGCGCCTTCCTGCACGGGGCGCGCCCGGGAGGCCCCTGCACTGGGCGCTGCGGCGCGCTGCGTGGCGTGGCGGCCGCCGTCGGAGGCGGATCGGGCGCCGCAGCTCGGGGCAGCCGGGCTGCGGGGAGGAGGCCGGAGGGTTCTGGCTTCCCGCGCGGCGGCCGGTGCGCCTCGGAGCCGGACGTAGCTCGGCCGGGGAAGCCTGCGGAGCTCAGGCTGGGCTGGACGGGCGACCGCGCGCGGGGAGCCTCCGCCACGGGGCCCCGAGCGGGGCGTGGGGCACGGCAGCCGGGGCAGCTTCCCGGGGCAGTCGTCTGGCTGCGCAAGCCCTCCGCAGGGAGGCCCCGAGGTAGCCGCCGCCTCTCCCTGCTGGTGGCGCCTGCCCTCCCGCCCCAGGCAGCCCCCGAGCTCGGAGTGGCAGCTTCTCACACCATCCAGGCATTCTGTTGTCCTGTTCCCATGTATTGCTTTACCTGCACCCAGGTGTCTGCCAAACCGCGGCACTCAAGCAACCTTAAAGGAGCAATTAAAATGATGAATTTAAAATACAGCAATTGCAGAACGAAGCCATTAAAACAGCACCCAACCTATCAGGTTGTTCCTCGTATTCACTGGATTTCCACACTCCCCAGCACTGAAGCTGCCTGCGCCGTGTGCAGCAGGTCCCCTCACGGGCCAAGGGCCTTCGCGACAGAAGCCGTGCCCACTGGCTGGCGGATGGGCCCCGCGCAGGAGGGATGCCAGGCCCCCACCCGCCCGAGCTCCTCCGCCCCCGCCAGGTGCAGGCAGGCCGCCCCCGGCCAAGGAGGAAGCCCCTGGCCAGCCGGGCTGCTCCGCGATAGCCTCCCCGGGAAGCTGCCCTGTCCCTTTTGAAGCCACGCAGACACGGCCGCTGCCATGTCCCGGGGCAGCACCTCCCACAGCAAGCACCTCGTGAGGAAGGCCTTCCTTTCTTCCACCCCACACGTCCCGGCAATCAGCTGCACAGGAGGAACTTGGGTTCAGGTGTTACGGGAGAAGAAGGAACATTTCTCACTACTTTCAGCACAGCGTGTGTTGGTAGCAGTCCCACCACGGCTCCGCTTCCTCGCCTTCTTCCTGGGCTGAGCGGTCCCCGTTGTAGCTTCTCCTCGCAGGGGAAGCCCCAGATCATGCCCATCGCCCTTCTCCATATTTTGTCCTCCTCTCACTCGTATCTTGACCGTGACCCCATGAGAGAGCTCTCCCGGATCCCGGCCCTTCGGGGCCAACCCACAACTAGGCCCAACCGTGAGCCCAAGTCTCCAGTGGTGCATGGTGTTGATGCCTCGGACCAGGGGCCCAGGGGGTCCGGGTTCAAGCTCCCCCTCAGCCACAAATGCACTGGGCGAACCTGGGCTTCTCAAACTAGCCTACCTCACAGGGTTGTTGTCATGGTGAAGATGAGCTGGAGCGGAGGAGGAGCATGACAGCCGCCCTGGCTTCCTTGCAAGAGGAAGCACAGCAAATATCCATCTGATTAATTAAATCATATTATTGGATTTTATCTGGCCAGGGCAGCTTATTTTATATTGTATTTTTGTATTTTTATCTAATGTTTATATTTGTAATTTATTATTATAATTATTTTTAATTTATTATTGTAAGCCACCCCGAGGCTTCGGCGAATGGGGCGGCATAAAAATGTTTTAATAACTAAATAAATAAATAAATCCCCATTCAGTGCCAGTTGAAGCCCTGTTCCCCCGACTGAATCATGGAATAGTGGTGCATGAAGGCCATCCAGACCAACCCCCTCCTGCCGCCTCCTGCCTGGCCAAAAGCGCCTCTCCCTGGCCCTCTTTCCGGCATCAGGCAGCCGCTGAGAACTAAAACGGCTCCTTGGGGTTGCTTGGGGAGGAGAGCAGAGCTGGGCGCCCACAGCACGCGGGGGGCCCTCTCCCGCAGAGCTATCATGGACCGGTCCACGGCGTGCGGATGCAGTGGCGCCTCGAGGGCCACCACCGTGCTGGGCGGGAAGCCCCGGAACCGTGCTTGAGCCTGCTCGGGCGAGGGGCCCGGCCCCTGCCGCCTCCCCGTCCCAGCAGAGGCAGCCCCATGGGGAACTGTGTGCAGGCCACCAGACTCAAAGGGCTTGGAAGGCCGGCAGCTCAGGCCTGTTCCTGCAAAGATTCGGAGAGGGTCTGACTTAGCTCTGCGCTTTTCACTATGAAGCGACACTCTAGCAAGGCATCGAAGCGACGACTGTGATTCTCTGGGGCTGGCTTGACTCTGTGGGCTGGAGGCAGGACTCCTGCATTCCCGAGGCGGCGGGGGGGGGGGGGGTTAGACGGCAGGCACCTGTGTGCTTTGGGGACCACGGGTGCAAAGAGCCGGCGGCAACGCCTTCCTTCCGCGTGTAAACCCTTCAAAGGAGTTGCGCAGCCCAGGGGGTCCCTCACCTGGTGGGCCTGGCGCCTCCTCGCCGCTGCCCGACTCCTGCCTGGCTGGCCTTTCCTTGTGGCTTCCCCACCCCAGCTGGGCAGGGAGAGAGGAATGCGAACCTCACCACGGAGGACCCTCCCCTCCCCTCCCCTCCCCTGCAGACAAAGGGGGCGTTCGCCGGGTATTCTGCAGGGCACCCCCAAATGCCCCGAACCGTCTGGAGAGGGGCACCCACGGCGTGTGCCGGCGGCATCGTCCCTGCGCAGGCAGCCCCGGCTTTGGTTGCAGCTGCAGCCGCTGCTTCAGGCTGACGGCCTGGGCCACGCAGGGCAAGGAGCCTGTGAGAAGCCCCCCTAGACCGAGGGGGATGTTTCCCCCTTCTGCCCCCCCATTTTGCTCCATATGGATGGGGTGGGAGGCTTGGCAAGGGGGATGTGTGCCCAGCCGGAGACAGTCCCCTGCCCAACTGCGGCCGAACGGGACAGGCGACGGGGGACGGGGGCGGCTCTGGGGGCGGCTTCTCCTGGACCACGAGGCCGGCGGTGGCTAGGCCGCCCAGCTCGGAGGCCGGGGGCTCCCCGATGCGGAAGCTGGTCCCGGGCGAGGCTGGCCTGGGTGCGCGGGCTGAGCGACACGCCAGGCACATCAGTCCGGAGAAGCGGGAAGCAAAGCTCCCGGGGGGGAGGAGCAGCTCCACCCATGGGGCACCCTCCAGCGGTGCTGGGCCACGACCTCAGCCCCCGCCAACCAGTGTGGCCAGCAATGGGAGTTGTAGTCCCCTCCTGCGCTCGCTGGTGAAGGCAGCAGGGGCAGGACGGCACCTCAGGCGCTCTGCATGATGCGTCGACGCTCAGGGCTGGGGAACAGTGGGGGCAGAGGGGCCAAGCAGGCCACCAGGTGCAGCCTGCGGCAGCGCAGCCATGGGCCACCCCGCCTGGAGGACTGTCCCTTTTCTTCTCGGATGCCTCCCGTGTGGAGGAGCGCACCACCCCTCCCCTCTGGGCGGCTGGCTCCTCTGCCATATTGCTGGGACGGTCGGGAAAGTCTTCCTCGCGTCCAGCCTGCACGGGGGCTCGGCAGCCGCAGCTCACCGTCCCGTGCCCTCCACCTGGCGTGGGCGAGCAGAGCTCCATTCGTCCTCCTCCGCGGCCGCCTCGGGGGCACCTGTGGGCCTCTCTCACGTCGCCTCGCAGCCTTCCTTTCTCAAGGCTGAACAGGCCCAGTTCTTTCAGCCTCTCTCTGTAATTCTTCTTCTCTGGGTCCAGCATCCTCTTTGCTGCCCTCCTCTGATCCCTCTCCAAATTATCAGCATCCTTTTAAAACCTGGGCGCCCAAAGCTGAACGCCGGACTCCAGGTGAGGCCGGACTAGCGTGCAGCAGGGGGGATGAGTTCTTCTGCTCCTGGGAGTGATGCCTGTTGAGGCATCCCAAAATGGTGTTTGCCCTTTTCGCGGCTGCATCACGCTGCTGGCTCATATTTAGCTTGTTGGCTATGACAACTCCACGGCCCGTTTCACTCGCAGGTCCGTTGAGCCAAGTGCTTCCCCATCTTGTACTGGTGCAGACTGATCCTTTTTGTTTCCCAAGGTATTAGCTATTCCACCCAGTTTGGCACCATCCGCAAATGTAATGATTGCTCCCTGGATTTCCTCATCAAGGTCATTCATAAAGATGCAGGAGAGTCCTGGCTGCAGGATGGAGCCCCTGTGCACCAGCTCGTAACTTCTCTCCAGGACGAAGAGCTGGGTGTTGCCAATTCTGCTCTGCGATCTGCTTTGAAGTCAGTTGTGGATCCATCCACCTCATAGCACTTCCGTCAAGCCCACATTTATTAGGATATCATGGGACACTCTGTCAAAACCTTTACTAAAGTCTGGGTAAGTTATGCCCACTATCCTCTGCCCGTTTGGGTGGCAACCCAGCCAAAGAATGAGATTAGATGGTTTGGCATGGCTTATTCTTTCTCACTACCTTTTCTTCACGACTGATTTTTATTATTTTATTATTTTATTAAAATCAGTACAGACTGATTTTTATTATTTTATTGGAGGGATTTAAATTGTCCTCCCAGTTTGAAACTCTTCTCCTGCTCCCCCCTCCTTGGTGCTCGGGGCTTTATCTTCAGTGGCCTGAATGTCTGGGGCTTTCCCTCCTGCCCTTCCCAGGTTGTCCAAAAGCAGAATGCAGACAGAAGTCCAACAGGCCAATCTTTTCTGGAGAACCGGTGCAAGCGAGGCGCTTTTCCAGAGATGGGCTCTGCATCTTGAACCGCTGAATGGAAGGCAGGCAGGCAACTCACTGGTGCGGCTGAATCCTGCCTTGAAAGTCTGCTGCTGAATTTCAGCTCGGCGCATAGCTCTTAAAAGCCTTTGGGGCCTGGACCCATCAACGGCTCCAGCTCCTGGCCTGCCCCGCCACCCCATCGCACAATAGCATGGGGCGCTGCTCTGCTTTCCCACCCGAGAGACTCAGGGGGTGTCCTCTCCCCCTCCCATGCTGATATCCCAGGAGGAACCCCTTACTTCTCGCCACCTTCTTCCCTCCAGTGGGTAGGATTCATGGGCTCTCTAAGAACGCACCAAATGGAGGCAGGCAGAAATTCAAGAGGAGACGGTTTGGGGTAAAGCCGCACCTGTGGATTGCCTGCCTGTCGTGACCCATGTGAAGGCACCGAGCTGAGCCCAGTTAAAGGCCTTCTGGGACTCCTGGGTTCTCTCGAAGGGGTGCAAGCAGGGTCTAGTCACATGGGGGGTCTTTTCAACCCCCCCCCCATGGCGTCGGGAAAAGGGAGGGACCGCGTAGCACACACGGTACAAGAAGGGCGCTTGTGCAAGAGAGTTGTGCAAAAGCGTGCGCCGCTCAGGGCTGGATCCTGCCCTCCCATCCGGGTGGAGCGGCTGCCCTCGGCTGACTCACTCGCAAACCCGTCGGAACTCAGCCGACCGGACCTCCCCAACCGAGCGCCCCCCGGCGGCCTTCGCTACATCTCCCCATCATCTCCAGCTAGCGGGCAGGCTGCCGATGAGAGGTGTGGTCCAACCCATAGGCGAGGTGGCCAGGCTGGATGAGGACGATGGGAGCTGTGGTCCACCCATCTGGAAAGGAGACTGCAACAGATCTTTTCTCCTCAGCCCTTATTGAACTGCGGAAGTGGGGCGTCCTCTAGGAAGCTGGGGGACCCCACCCTCGCACGCTTCCTTAATGGGGGTCTCTGTTGGCTAAGCAGCAAAGACCCCCCCCTAAAAATCGAAGGAGGAGCTTAGCTGGCTCCCCCCCTCAACCCACCACTTGGTCTGCCCCAGACACCCCCTCTCTCCACCAGGCTGCGTGGTCCCTTCCAGCAGCCCTCGCGGGTAGTTCCCTTTTTATTACTTTCGGGGAGGGGGGGCCGCCCGCCGGCCCCCATCGCGGCTCTTCCTCTCCGCGCTTTCGCCTCTTCCCTCTCCCTCGGAGGGACTTGGTATCGCCCGGTCCGCCCTCCTCGCCAGGCGCTGCTTCGTCCGCGTCCGGCTCTGGGCGCGGCGCTGGAGCCGCATCACCGGGGCCGGGTGGGGCGGGATCGTTCCGCGCGCCCCACAGTCGAGTCCCGGCCGCGCCGCGCGCGCTCGGGCAGCCTCCGCAGGCACGGCAGAGCGGGATCCTTCCGCCCCCGGGGCAGCGGCAACGAGTCCCCCGCCCCCACCCGCGACGCGGCGGCGGAGGCGGCGCTGCGGCATCAGGTACGCGGAGCCGGCGGGGGGCTGGGTGGCGGCGGGGCCCCTCCGCTTGCGCGGCGCCGCTCCGCGCCCCAGCCGGCGACCCCAGCAAGGCGCCCGGCGGTGCAAGCAGGGGAGCCCG